AATGATCATTGCAGCAATATTACTGTTGACCAAACGGCGTGACGGGTAGGGAATTATCGTATGGCGCCTGCACATACAACTAAAACTAGTTTTTTTCGAGTAAGCTGTGCATTTCACCGAGTTAATTTCATACTACTTATTAACATGCAATAGACCCGTCCAGCCCAGAAGTCAAGTTTTATCTGCGACGGCGTCTTCCTTACATATTGATTCAATTCGATTATTTGTTAACAACAATCGTTAAACATAAAAAAACAAAATCGTCGTTAGTTATGCTAATCGTTTAATAACTACGACACAGCTAGTAATAGAAATTTCTTCTAAAATACTTGAGCATTTAGTTGTGTTAATCGTGAATTTTTTTTTTTTTTTTATCGCACGTTGTAAGTGGGTATCGTGCGTCATAGGGTTGTGTGGTGGGGGGAAGAATATGACTAGTATGGCACAGAATATAAAAATATCTTTACACGTCTTGACTGCAGACATTTTACACGACAGAGCGTAATAATAAAGTGTTTGAGGAGCGTAACTAGTTCAAGGGAAAACACTTAAAAACATTACGAATTAAACAGAAGAAAAAAAAAACGTAGTAAATTTTGAGTGTGGGTGCACACGAGTGTATGCCAACAGGGCAAAAGTCGTTTTTTAACAACACGAGGTCGTGTCGTCTTATGTAAGCGCTCGAGTACGAGCTGCGGCAGATAGTCTACAGGTTTACAGAGTCAAACTAACAGAGTAGGTTTTTGTACGTTGACCGCGTTACGTGTCTTTCGGTCGCGAGGGGCAGAGAGTGAACGCGCCAGAGGAGAAACGGCGGTAGCCGGAAAACATTCGTGGGACGGTTAATGGTAATCCGCAGCACGCACTGTTCGTACCACTTCTGGTTCTGTCTTGCAGCGACTAATTTAAACCCCGTCACGCGCGTCCCTCCGAATCCACGACCGTCGCATACGTATGCACACTAATGCATTTCAACGGAGACCCCGGACATTACGTTGAGCTCACGGATTCTCACGAGCTCCGCCGTCAAACACGAGCAGACCGAGTGCTATGGAAAACCCGTGGGCGACCGAGACCGGTGGGGTTGTAAATGACATAACCCCATTAGACTACGGCCTGTCGTGCGGGCCATGTGCGCAACCCGTTCCCCAGATTTCCATCTGCTTTTGCGGCCGCGTGTCGCGAGCTTTACGGGCGTCCACATCGAATGTATTCAAAGTTCGGAACGAGCAGCGATCGATTCAGATTTATGTGGTACTCGTCGTGTGCGTATACTAATCAACGGCGTGCCAGTTCATAATTAAGTTGTTGCGGTGTAAACAGAACTAACCAGATGGCTGAATTACACGGAAACTTTGGAACGTGAGTCGCGGGGGCAGCCGACGTCTATTTTTACAACCGACTGCAGGGGTACCCAAAGCCGAGTTTAATGCCGACCACATGGCACCACCACAGGGTCCCGGCCGTTTACATGACGCGCTCACGGATATCACACAGTCGACTGCGGCCGATGAGATATTTATTGCTTCGAGTTAAGCCGACACACCCCCCGGCCGCGTTATCGAAATTCCAATGACCATCTGCGCGCCGTCGGCCGGTACGCGCATACAATAGCAACAACGATTGTTAACATTTGAATACAACAATATATAGAGCACGACCTAGGCGGTTTTCTGCCTCCGATTTGTATTCACCGTCGCCCACCGAATTATTCGACAGCGCAATTTTAGATAAGAGGTGTTGAGACACCACTGGAAGCGGCGCGTGCCAGTCAAGTCGTATTTTATTGTGAACTGACAGACCGCGACGCGGGCACAAGTACAGGTGATAGGGTTAACACTGTCGGCAATATTTTTCGGACTCACGCCCTCCCCCCTTGTTTGTAATTTACGACCAATTGACATCACACAGCAAATGCGTTATTTATGTATGGCTTTTAACGACTACAGATCGGAAAATGTCCGTACAGGAATGACGCGATAGTTTCAGAGATCATCACGTCGTTAGTCGTACGGCCGACGGTCCATTAGCCGGAGACTGTGAGGATAGTTGGTGAAGAGGGAAAAAGTCCTAAAAGTCGTCCAATCGGTTGTCCATTAATTGTAACTGCACGCGTTTTGTACGGTCCGCATGAACCGGGACCAGCTAGTGTGTTATTTACGACCCGCCGCAAGACGCTTATTTTGAGTCGTCTATAAATAATACACGAGCCACGTTTCCCTCTTTTTTTTGTTATTGTTAAAACGGAAATACGTTACAGCCGTTCCTAATTCACTTAAAACAAATCGCAGTAGTAATGATTTTTTCCTCGATTAAAACACTACAAACGCGTATTGTGTTTTCTTTATACGGACGAATTTCGGTTTATGACGGTGGTTAACCCAACAGGTAGTTCGCATTAGACATTAACATTTTTTTTTTGTACCAACAACGCGGCTACTATGAATATTATTTTTATACTACTACTAGTTTTTATTCAAACGTACGCGTGACAGGTAGTGGTACAGGACGATAACAATGGTAAACGACCGCCGAGATTTTTATTATTATTTTTTTTTTTAAGAGATTCTGATTTTTACTAGGGTCTTTGTGGAAAAAAAACACACGAGAAGGGTCCGCCGCGATAAAAACACCCTCCAGGAGTAGAAAAGAATGTATGATATTATAATGTACACATTTTATATTTCGGTGGAAACGCATTAAACCGGCGCCCGGCGCGGGGCGCCACTTAAAATCAATCCTCTCGCCGAAGATACACGGACGACACGCCGCAGACTCTTCACCGGGTGAAACGATGACAAAGTATAGACTCGGCACTTGAGTGTTTAGCGGTACAAACGGGGTGCCTTTGTAACGACTGACTTGTAAGTGTCCCCGGACCTACGGTCGCGCATACACCGGGATTTCGACCTAACAGAGTATCATTATTTTTGAAGATCTCAGAGGAGGGCCATGCACAATCTACCCTAATCGAACCACTATTGCGGTAGAGCGTGCGCGAGAGAGAGAGAGAAATAAGAAGGAAATTAGGTGTCCATTCAGTATATAGACTCGAGAACGCCGTTGACTGCACACAGCTGTTGGTGGACCTGCCACTCTTGACATGCAAGTCGGCTAGAGCGCCCAACAACGCGTGCAGGACGCGTCGGCCGGGTCGTCTTCTACCATCACGTTACATAACAACCGATCGATGCGCATAACGGGGACAACAATAGTTACTGGGACTATTAGAAAATCATTTTGACCTCGCCAATTGTGTCAAGTCACATTACCAGCGAAACGGGTCGCCAGGTAAATAAGAATAGTCCACGCGAACTGTCGGAATACGTTACCAGCGGTGACCGTTTTTAATTACAGTCTATTAGAACACAATTACCGGTACCCATACGGTATGTGAGCGCACGTAATGACGTTACCGGTTTAAATAAAGTACAGGCGCGCATACTTAGGTGCCGCATTAAATAACATTAACGTGCAGCGCATGTAGACCAGGCCACAAGTCTAATCTGAAGTAATATACTAGGCCGGCACTACAAGAGTTGAACGATTCTGTACTCTGCCGTGTTGGCTTTATCGGTTTTGTCTGTTATTCTGTTCACGTGACTGTGCGCGCTCATCACATTACGCGTTACTTAAGAGCAAACAAAAGCGATCGACTTCCAGGAGCTGATAAGGTAAAAAACAGTGTGCCGGCGGCACGTGTAATTTTGTCTCAAACCCGACACTGCAGCAACAGGCGTCTCTAAGTGCGTTTTATGCGCGTACCGAATTCATTATGTACGGTTCAGATTAATAATTCACAGCAATGCAGCAGCAGTCGATAGCGCAATAATTAATAGTGCAACCGAAATATTACATTATTATTATTAACGTCCGCGGATAACCGAAACAGAATAGTTATACGTTTTTCAGCCTATTGTTGTGGGTCAGGAGTTATAGATAATAAAAAATAAATAAAAAGAACGGATAAACTTGGCGTGCGGAATAATCGAAGGTCGTCCCCCGATAGGTGTACCGGTGCGCAGTTAAGAGCTCACGGGGAAAATACAGCGAGCAAATCATAATTAACTCCGAGGGAATAATACTTCAATGGACTATTGTTTTCGAATTCCTACCGCCAAAAACAAAATATTTTATAGTTATAGTCGGTCAGCAGTCAAGCGATATAAATATTTATTGTTTACAACTGTTGTTATTTCGGTTAATTATTACTGGAACGTTAGTATTAGTAAGCAATTAGGTATATGCATTCTATTTGAACGGATTTACATACACACTATCAGCCGTTACACTTAGACATAATAGTCTAAAGAGTTATCGGGCCTGTTTTAAATACACAGTTCGTATGCGTATGCGTTGGATTTCATTGAAGAAGGTTACGTGTGACTGTGCAAACAACAATTAGAGCAGCACACAAACTGCGAAGTGTGCATTCGGTACAAATTAGACGGTCGGGTGCGGGACACCTTATCGCGACCTAATGAACTCCGTCCGAGGAATTTACTGTATCAAAATGAACTCAGTAATATCATATTAATAATTAGTCTCTGTAAGGGACTCCAATACCAAGGTACTCGTCGTGCGAATGATTANCTAAAGAGTTATCGGGCCTGTTTTAAATACACAGTTCGTATGCGTATGCGTTGGATTTCATTGAAGAAGGTTACGTGTGACTGTGCAAACAACAATTAGAGCAGCACACAAACTGCGAAGTGTGCATTCGGTACAAATTAGACGGTCGGGTGCGGGACACCTTATCGCGACCTAATGAACTCCGTCCGAGGAATTTACTGTATTAAATGAACTCGGTAATATCATATTAAAAATTAGTCTCTGTAAGGGACTCGTCGTGCGAACGATTGTTATAGGAAGGACTGTGGGTTCCCGCAGAACACTAAACTGTCCAAGTTGAATTGGAATACTGTCGGCGGCCTGTCACGCACATCCGGTCAGTAAACGGAACCTATGAAGTAAAACGTAATGACGTCGGCGGAACTTACCCAAATCTTCGACAAGCCTGAGCATGACGCCTCCAATGTGCAAATCTCCTTTGACTCTGAGCGTACGTTCCACCTGCAGGTCGGACACGTATATCTGCAGGTTCCAGGAACCGTCGCCGATAATGAAACCGTTCGTGGTCATTTTAAAAGAGTTTTAAAGTTAGCTGAGTAGGCCAAATGGAAGGCACTTTGAGCGGGCAAAGAACAAAAACAAATTTAGCCGACTGGGCCAACGGAAAAACTTGAATTTTTAACAATTTTTATCTATAGATATTGAATTAAAACCTTCGACGGCGCATCGTCGTTCGCGGTCACACGCGAGCACATCAGGTACGAAACGGCTACACCGTATACGGTCATACGACCACGTTGAACTCGATCGGTCCCGCGAACTGCTGTGCGTTTATGGTATACAATGTGAGATGTGTCGCTATTGAGTCTGGCTGTCGGTCGCGAACGACACAGGCGATTGCGGTCGGGTACGTGTACGGACTGGCGACGGGCTCCACAACACGTGATAACGTTGGAACGTTGACGGACGATGAGAGCGCTGCCGGCGGTTTACGGACACGGTGGGGGCCGATAGTCTTGGTTGCCGCCGCCGACGCCGTCGACTAGGCAAAAGAGACCCGGACAAAAATGTGACCTCGACACACGGCCGCCGTATGAGCTCGCGGTCCGTAGTGTCGGCGATGCGGCCTAGCCGTTCGTCTCATCGTCCCGGTAAGGTTTATGGGCGACGGGGTAGGGGGGTACGAATGACATACAGCCGTCCATTCATACGCATCTGTAGTTTTTGGTCCCGTGCCACATGGTCTCACCCTGTAAGTCACAGTCGACTTATGTGTGAACCCCTACGGTTAGAAAAATGATGTTTCGTGTTAAAGAGAAAAAAATTTACTTAAAAGTACCGAGGGGTTATATTTTATGGATAAACAAGTTTATAAGAAAAATATATAAATATTTTAATATTTAATTTTTTTTTCATATTCCATTCGATAACAAAAAAAAAAAATTCAACTAAACTAACAATTTACTTACATTTATGTGTACAGCATAATTGAGAGATATATTTAAAAAGGAAATCAAAGATTTCTGTCAAAATTATTATTAAATTAAAAATATATATGTTAAAATGTATTATAATATTTTGATATGAATAGATTTCATTCTTTTTTAACTGCTAATTTTTTATTATACAATTTTAACTTTTTTTTTTCTATCGAAAGATTATTTTATGAATATATAATGAAAGATTTTGAAATATGACACTTCTTTAATAATTTGGTTGTAGCAAATTTTCAGGCCAAAGCTATTTATTTTCAGATGATCTATATTCAAGATGAACTATTGAAGATAAAATACTACATAAGACTTTATGGTTTTCCTTTCTAAAAAATAACAAACTCATTTAAAACGAAAAAAGTAGAAGCAGACTGATAGTTATTAAAAATTTATAAGATCAGAATTATTTTTTTATACCGTTAAAATTAATATCATCATGTAATAAAATATCAGAAAGAGTAATAATTTTTATACAAACATCTTAGTTATTATTATTGTATATTTTAAATAATTGTTTAACGAGTTATTATTGATGAACAAATATTTGACGGAAAAGAACTTACATTAATTAAATCAAAATACATACCTAATTAATTGGTCGTTGTTAAAAATTCCAAAAAAATGTTTAATGTCGTATACATGATACAGTGATAACACTTCTATTTAACGATTAAATTTATGCAATGATTTTAATCAAAATTGAAGTTTCAATGTAGTTAAGAAAAAATAAAAAAAAACTTTTTTTTTATTTGTCACCCTTCATCCAATTCAATAAAACAATACATTTTACGTCCTAACTATAAGTGCCATGAATTATTATAAATAAAAATTATAAGTATATTTTGACAATTAAATTTTTCAAGTGATATCGTATTTTTAATTTGATAAATTTATAAGTTTATCGTTATAATTACTAGAATTTAATTTTAATAAACTATAAATGTTATTTAACAATGCACTTTTGAATTTAATAACTTAGAGTACAAATACATACAGGGTGTCAAGTAAGTAAAAAGCAGGTCAATTGTTACAAACAATGAAAACAATAGAAACCCGTTTCCTTACTAACTAAACACTCTACATATTGATAAGAGCAATTTATTAACACAAGTAGCTATTTCTCTTATATAACTGGGTTATTTATACNCACAAGTAGCTATTTCTCTTATATAACCGGGTTATTTATACAAATATACGATGGTTAGAGTCAATTACGATTATATCGGTTGATAACATTGTGTCTTTTAAACTACTATTCCTTAAACTTATATAATTACTATTCCAGCAATTTTATAGTACTACTTTTAACAAACATATATTGTTTTATAATGATTCTTACGTTATCAGTGGTTAAATGGGAAAAACTAGGAGAGGACTATAGTTTCTAAAAATTGAAGAATGTTTCTGAGCCACACCGAGTTGTTTGCTCTCAAAGGCTAAAATTGATATTGATCATAATATGCAAATACTTAGTAAAAAAATAATTATCTCACTAAAGAAACAGATTAGTACTTACCTATTATTTATGTTATTTCGTTAAAAATCAATTAGAAATTAATATTATACAAAACATCAAAAAGTCAGTATCAAAAGTTTAATTTATTATAAAATAAATGCAAAGCAGTCTTTTTAAATTTTCAATATAATACTATAATAGAAATAAGTCGAGAAAAAAATATTAACAATGGCCAATTTAGGTAGGTAACTACATATAAAAATATGAAATGACTAATAGTTATAAAATTTATAAAGTATTCAACAAATTAAAAATGTATCAACAACCGTGGTATGTTCTATTGATATACCAAATATATATATCACCTTAAGTTTTTATTTCTATCGCTTTATTGCCCTTAATATAAAAGTCTTTTAGTTCCATCTGTAGTCATAAACTAATTATATGTTTTTTTAAGCTTATATTAAACAATTAATTAAACTTTTGAATAATCCAAAAACAAACGATTAATAATAATTACGTCACGTTCGACCGTGCTCCTAATACTTTTATTACCACGGTCGTTTCATAAAATTCTTATCATTTAATAATTAAATTCATCAAAGATTATTATCTTTTAACAATTTTGACCAATGAAATAAATTACTCATATTAACACTTTTCTCAGTTCAATACTGAAAATTAAAGCGGCATTTTGAGATTCGACTTAAAGGGAACGCTAGATTGTACTCCAAATAAGAAGAGGAACTCCGTTTCCCACCCATAAACCACTTAAATTTTAACCACTGAACATTATTAAAAAAATCTTTTCAAAAGTTGTTCACCAAATTAATATATTTGATTTCAAATGAAATAATAATGCGATAACCATTAACAACACATAATATATTTACCGAAAAATATTCAATTAATATTGTAAGTATTATATGCAACTAAAACAAGCCTTAAATGGTATTAAATGAAAACATTAAAATTATGATGTTGTAATTTAACTTTTGGAGAAATCAAATTGTTATCGTTTAAAAATTATTATGTATTTATTTCAAGCACTAAATAAGTACAAAATTTATTTATTTAGCTTAAATGAATTCTAGAAAAATTAATTTATTAGTTCAATAATTTTGGAAAATTTATCAACTTTGAGATATTTTATATTCTAGTAAAGTTTATTGATAAGATTAACGTGGACACTAACTTTCCTTAACGTTTAAAATATTAAAATGTAAAAAAAAAATAAAAAATAAAAATTCTGCAAGTTTTCATCAAAGTTTTTGATAATCTTCAATCTAAATTGTCTTTGTATTTTGTTTGTTTCGCTGTCCTTGTCTTTTTAATAAGACAATTGTCTCCTTTATAAAAATCTCCTAATTCCCCGTATGAAGGTATAAAACACATTCCTTTAAATACAATTGGCTTCGATGATGAATAGAATATGTTGACTATCATGCATTGACAGTTGACTATTATATCCTTCATAGAGATGATGATTTTATACATACTTCATGGTATGATATGTGTATTTAGTAATTACATTATTTATTGATTTATGGATTGATATACTTTAAATAATAGTTTTGTGACTACATATGCAACCATAATATGATTCTAAGTCGCAAAGTGATTATATCTTTATTATAGATGAGAATGTAACGTCTACAACAATAACAACTTAATCATTAAAGAAATAATTCTAAAAAAAATTGGAGGTTTTCCTTATTTAACAGTATATAGTTTTTCTGGAATTTTAAAGGGACTAAGTCCTTCCAACCTTCTTTTAATGCACACTTTCGTCAAACACGTAGCGTTAAAATCAAGTGAAGTTGAAAATAGTAATTCCTATAATATCTAAATTTTTATTTATTTTGTAACTTTAATATAGTTAAAAATATATTATCATATAATATCGTATTACAATGTTTAGTAATACGATTATAGGAACTACTATATCAATTAGATAACTATTTTTGTTCAATAAAATTTTCAAGGAAATAGTGTACAGCAAAAACTACTTTCAGTATTGAAAGCATGGTGGTCCTTATTTAATAATAATCTATATAATATTATATAGGTAGACATTTTTTTTAAATATTTGTTACACAGTACCCTCTATAGTAGTTTAGTCGTATAAGAAAACAATGTAGGCAAAATTTGGAAGGTTTTACTCAACCCTTCTAGTGTCACATTGGGGTTGAAATATGACAATTGAAGATAGATTTTCATTTTGTGAGTTTAACTCGATAAGTATTACACTTAACGTTATAATATATAGTACCTTAAGTGTAGAACTTATTATTGCCTATAAAAAATTTATTAACAAAATTTTTCATATATCAATTATACTTTGAAAAAAATAATAAATTTTCAAAACTTTGCAAAAAAAAACAGTTTTTTACAGTAATTGTAATATATTTACTAAGTGGTTGTAGGTGCATAAAATTTTACATATAAATATGATTCAAATAATATTTCTTAAAAACGCTATAATTATACGTTGGATCAACTATTTATTGGTTTAGTTGAATTTGAAATTTAAAGATTATAAAGTATAAATACAATGAATGTGTATTTTTACAAATACTATGATTATTATTAAATGTACGGAATTTACTATGGTTAACATTATATTTATTTGTGTAGTAATACGAAACGATAAAAGATTCAACTAATATTATAAGAAAATAAAAAAAATTATACGAAGAAATAAGAAATACAGAGAATAATAAAACAAGTATTAGTGACTTATATAGTAAAAGGGAACAAAATTTTATTGAATGGAAGATTTATTTGATATTGGTCAAGCTAATGCATTGAATTTAATGAAGATTTAAGAGGATATTGATTTCTCACGACTTAAACGAACTAAGGGCCGCCCCGTGTCTATGATGGGAGTAGATATGAACTTAGCACAAATAGATAAGTTTAACATTCAAGTTTTTCATCCGATTTATCTTTTGAAGATATCGAAATGGTTAGTGAAGAAGAAAGTTGTTTTTCACCAGAGCTTGGTCCGTTAATAAGTATAAGAGGTAGAAAAGTACTTTTAACAACTAAGTATGTGTTTACTGTTGATAATGGTAACATTGTTTCCGAAATACGTATCCGTGACTTTTCAGTATTTTGTTGTGGCTTTTGAGTTTAATATTTTTTAGTTTTTAAATTAATAATATTTTTAATATAGTTCTAATTTTATTTTAACGAGTAGATTACCTGCCATACTTGATAGGCGTAAGTAAGTGATAGATATGCTGTTCGTTTACTTACTGCGTGTTTGGATGCTTTATCATTAGATACCAGCAAATATGTTTTAAACCGATCATCAATTAAAAAGTCCGTGAAAGTTATGGACAAAAAATTGTAGAAAGTACTAATTCTAAATTTCATAATAAAAATTTGAATTTTGTTGTGATTAATTGGGATACAAAAATACATCGTGTCTTTACGGGGAAAAAAAGTAGATTGTCTTCCTATTTTTACAACAGTCTTAAGTATTAAACAACTTCTTGAAATCCCTTATATACCCACAGGGAAAGGTTAAGAAATATCATCAGCTGTCTTTGCTCACTATTAGAAAAAGTAAAAATTTTTACGTTTGATACTACAGCCTCTAATTTGGTAAGGTTTAATGGGCATGTGTTTTTTTGAAGCAACGTCTTGAAAGAGAAATATTATTAAGTTATAATAATATATTAAATTCAACATTTTAAAATTATAAACTTTTATAAAAATCAATATAAAAAGTCAAAAAAAAAAAATAGGTTAAGCATGGCAATTTGAATATAATTTTTTCTCGAATTATTTTTAACGTATTAAAAATAAATAATAACTTGATGAACAATTTTTTTTAATAATCTTTTGATAATTTTTGTTAAAAATCAGAATTAATTTATAATTATTTAAAAATAGTTATCCTTATCATAAGGGTCGGCCTGGCCTAGTGGGTAGAAGCGTATGTTTGGGCACACGGGGTCCCGGGTTTGATCCCCAGGGTGTTAACAACATTTTTCTTGTGATTTTCTCATTTTCCATCATTTGCTAAGCCAAGAACCATCTTTGACTCTCTAACATGTGGAAGAGGGCCAGCAACCTCTGTAGCATGTTAAGTTCGGGAAATAGAAGGATGTAAACTGATTATTCATTTACTTATCTTTATTATAACACCAAATCCTTAAAATCGTGTTTTGTTACTTTTTATGTGACAGATAAGAATTAAAGTGCCTATACTTAACTCCTAAAATATATAATTTGCTTAAATTCATAGGTGAAATTACAGGGGTGAACTACTATGTCATGATCTCACTTAATAATTTGGACCTTTTCCTAAGAATATGTATAAAAATTGATCACATAGACAGTACCGCGACTATTAAGCTATTAGCATATGTAAATGTTCTCGCGCCCTCCTCACACCCAGAGAAAAACCTCGATCTATATAATAAATTCATTGTTCAATTTGATAAATATATCATTACTATTGAATCTATGATATATTTATCAATATGATGATTTTTTTTCTTGTCTTGAACAATAATTATTCATAAGAATAATTATTTTGTTCGTATTAATAAAACATTATCATAAACCCTTGATAAAATTTCTCTATCAAAATTGATTGAGGTTTTTCTTTGGGTGCATCATCACTGCAGTTTTAAAAAATAATAAGTCAATATACATAAGTTACGGAGCTTATATGCCTAAAATGGGTAATACTCAATTTAGGGGTTAAAAATTTATTTTTTTATAAATACCTTAAGGTTTTAAAGTCGCTACTTTTGAATGAAAAGTTAACCTTTTCAATTTAACTTTTGAAAATATTCCGGAAATACTGCGAGCTTTAATAATATATTAAATTAAAGCTTATGTTACTTACTATAGTTAAAAACAAACAATTATCACGATACCTTGTCTTCTATATATAAACGGTCCCCAAACTTAAACAAAATAGTATATTTTGTTTAAACAATCACGATTTTTCGTGTAATACTTTTCTATTTCAATTTTTTATTTTTTTCAATTAATTTGTCCCTCGTTCCACGAGGCATTCTTTAATATCTCTTTTGAATACTCTTCATTCAGTAATTTTTTAAAATACTTTTTCCACTTTTTTTTCACTATCAACACTTTTTATACTCCTTACATAATGTTAATCTTTAGACCTTCTTTCTCTTACTTTTGCAAATCTATAGACTTCTATTTCACCTTCCATTGTTCCTAGCCTATCATACAACTCATAATACCTCTTAAACTTTGCCTTACTTAATGCACATTTAGCATCTTTGCATAAGCGTTTATACTCCATCTAATCTTCTCTCCTTTTGCTATTCTGCTGTTGTAATATCCATAAACTCTTATATCTTAATTATTCTAAATAATATGTAACCAATATTGTACATTTAAATTATTCAAAAAATGTAACCTTTATATTTTGACACTACAATGTATCTTATACTATGCAGATAAGTCATTCTATTGCGTGACTACCTAACACTATTACCATGTATAACTGTATTGTTTGTACATTGTACTATGTCACTTTTTATACAACTAATAAAGAATCACAGATGGTGTACCTTAATAATCGAGATGTCCCACAAAAATTATTCTAATCATAATGTTTCCACAAAAACTATCTCAAAAGTTATAGTCAATAGTCCGTTTGCATCCAAATCGATCAAGCATCCTCTTCTTTACTCACCTCGTTTATCAAGAAAAAGAAAGTAAAAACTAGAATTTATTCAGAGTTCAAATTTATTCAAATTCAAGAACCTTCACATTATAAAATCCTAAATCACACACGAAATCTCGTGTGAGTTATTTAAAGGTTAGGATATTTTTGAAAAATTTATAGCAGTTTTAAAATCCAGAAAAAAAGTTAAAAGTACAATTTTGTACGGTACCATAATTTTAAGATACTTTTTAAAAGTTATAAAATTAAGACGTTTTTTTACACATTTTACGGATATATTAACGAAATATCTTTTGTTTTATATTTCTCAGGTTTAAATATCCCCGTGGTTCCTTTGTATTAATTAGTACAATAAACAAAGGCTTTATATATTTTTAGAGAAAAAAATTAGCATGTTGGGTTGGATTTGGTTTTAATCTATAAATTATTACAACTATAATTTTTTATTAAACTTATAATTTAAATTGTTTTTACTTTTTATATCATGATTTACTATGATAAACACTTAACAGGTGTAATTTTTCTATTTTGTATTAATAATTTAATAGGTATTAGTTAAAAAATTAGGTCACTTAAACCTCATAACATATCTAAATTATAAATTTTATTTATTGTTATAAACTTCAATAATATTACAGCAAATTGTAATAAATAAATGTCACAAAGATTAATTTTACAATGTAAACTGGAAACATTAAATTATATTTATACATTAAAATGGAAAATAGACTACGTAAATAATTTTATGTGTCAATGATTTTAATCATTATTTTATTTCATTCATAAATCATTAAATTATGTTTTTGCTGTTGGAATATTTTTTTAAAACTATTATATTAAAAATTATATTGATATAAACACGAAATGCGAATTTTAATAATCATATTTGTTGTTTTTTTTTGCACGATAATTAATTTTTATCATTTATATTATGAAATAAAATTATTGAATATATGTTGATATTAATACATACAGAGTAATTGATTTATCATAAACAACTGAATTATTCTCAAAATAAATACAATATTGAAAAAAGAAATGTACTTTTTTACTTTGTGTCATCCCTTATTACTTAAAGGGGTGTCAATTTTATTTTTTTAAATGGCAATAACATATACTATATATATAACATATGTATAAATAGATTATTTAATAAATAATGATAAATAAAAGAAAATAACCCGTCATTAACAACTTTTGGATAGGTATAATATACAGAGTGTTAAATAAGGAAACAGGTCAATTGTTACAAAAAATGAGACCAATAGAAGCCCGTTTCCTTATATACAGAACACTATATATTATTTATAACATTCCTAAAAATCATGTTATAAATATAATCATTAGCTTATAAATTAAGAAATACAAAAATCATATTAGTAAAAGAAAACAAAAAAAAATTTTCAGTATTCAATAATCGAGTGGTTTATGGTAAATCGATCACCTATTTATTTAATATTTATTATTTCAAGACAATCCTAAAAATGATTTATAATATATTTTAAAAATATAACTAACACAATATAAGGGATTATTTTAAGATTTATTAGAAAAAATCTTATAAAATACCTCGTAAATTTCGAAGTCAACGTTTTCAAATAAATCATTAACTTTTTTCAAATAACCCATTAGATTACTAACGTTTTCTTTTGACCAATTGATTAAATCATTCAGTTTTAATTTATTTTTTTCTACTAAATTCACAATATTTTGTGTCATTATTTTGTTTGAATTATACAAATTACTTCCATGGATAAACTGATGTTCTGCTATTCTGTGAGCTTCATTGGCAAATGAATAATTACATTTTCTAGTTTCAAACAATTTATTAAGATTAATTAAATTTGGATCTTTTTGAAAATGAAAAAATTGAATAAAATCGTTAAATAAAATGTTCATTGAGTTCCAGGAGGTATCAATGAAGGAGTCACATCTTTCATATTTCTTCTTATCTATACCAGACTCATAAGCTATAGTGATTGACGATTGTAATTTTATATGAATATAAAAAGATAATTTTACAGTGTTAATTAAAGTTTCTCTGTAGTTAATTAGTTCAAAATAGTTATTTTTTTCATCAACCCATACATGCATAGCGGCTTTAAAACTTTGAATTAAATATTCTTCCCAATTTATCCATTCAATAGCTGAACATTCTGTAATGAGTGATTTTACAGAATTTTTATTTGAAAATATATCAAAGAAAAATAGATTTTGTGGTGTAAATAAATTGTCTATATTATTTCCTACTACTTTGAAATTTTCTCCGATATTCATATCAAGGATTTTCAATTTTGAATAAATTTCATCAATTAATTCAATTTGTTGATATTTATTGTTTTATTTAAAACCTTTAAGCAATTTTTTAATCTCAGTCGTCGTATTAAAATTTTCATTTTTATATTTTTTGGAGTAAACTTTTATTTGATCTTTAATAAATATGATAACTTTTGAAATGTCCACAGCATTTAATCTAATTTTTGATTGTTTTACAAGTCCTTCTAATTTTTCTAAAGGCTGATATAATATATGAACTGAATTTGAAAGTATACTAAGGTGCCATAACCATCGAATGTTGTGATTGGATGGCGAATTCAATATTCGTGCGATTAGCTTACCAAAATAATTAAAATGCATTATGTACTTGTCATTGTATGTTTCTTTGTTAGTATCAATCCAACTCTCAAATAGTTCTAAAATATTTTGGATTTGTTCTACAATATCTCTCGGAACTTCAAGATGATCCGCATTGACCTCATACTTAAAAAGAGCAATATTAAATAAAAAAAGGAATCCTACCTTTGCTATTTTCATAGTTGGAAATAATAATACCTTATTGAATTGTTTTATTTTAATGTTTTGAAATTTACACAATTTAAAAGTAATTAAATATAATTGTTATACAATCTTCTGTTTAATAACATCTACTAGTCGATTTTTTAGTTTATAATTCGTTACAAATAAAGTCTTGAATAAACATTTTATACGAATTGCAATATTTTTCTCAAAATAAATTCATCGACAAACATTTACAAAAAAAAAATTTAAATTAACATTTTATTGTGGTGTTATTTCAGCTTATGCTAAAACAACGTGTTAACATATTGTTGATGTATATAATAAAATCTAAAATTAATGAATATCACACTGAAAATTTATTTCAGTAAAACAAAAATCATATATGTTTACTTTAAATTTAATGTAATTAAAAAAAATATTACATGAATATCGTAAAACTTTTTTTCAATAAACTTTAAGGTTGTTCTCAAGTCTATAACATCTATAAAATAAAAACTTGTGTATATGTATTATTGATATTATTTTGTAACTTTTAAGCTTTTAATAATATTTTCTTTATTGAAAATAATATTCATTCATTTTTTTGAAAATTAATCTCTTCAAAAAAAAAAAAAAAAAAGGATCATTAGTAATAACTAATGGCCCAATAACATTTGTGACCCTCATAAATATAAATATATATTACTATTTATATCAAATGATTTTTTTTTCATAGGCTTACTGAACACCCTGTATAATAATATTCAATGATATACTTATATTACTCATATTAATTTGATATGGGTATGTGGACGAATTATGAATGGTGATTCTTTTCTTTCATTTTAAATCATCTTACAAGTCGATACTTGTCTATTTTTTAATAATTCTTTAATACTTTTCTAATTAACTTTCATAATTTAATTATGAGACCAGGCTGTAAACAACGTTCTGTTGTCTTGGAGCATTTAAAAAAAATACGTGGCTACAGAAACACTACATTATTAAATTAATTATATTATTATTAATAATATTGAAAATTTAAATTAAAATGTTCTATTAAATTAGCATTTATTTGCTACTCTAGTTATTATACAATAATATACATATTGCTTATTATTTTCTGATATAATTTCTCACATTTGACAAATGTTATTAAAACTCCAATTATAATAGTCATTCATTAAGTAACATAAAATTAATAGTTTTTAATATAAATGTACATTTTTGAAAAAGTTTTCTCGATTTATAGAATATATATTTATTTTTGAGAATTTTATTTCTTAATTATCCAATAATTACAAAATATTTTCATCAAATCAAAAAACTGTTAGTTAACTGTTTTTTCTGTTGATCCACGAAATTTTATCCAACCGTAACTTATTTTTTAACATCTAAGAGATCCATTTAAAAACTAATTTTTCTATAACAAATATGTGCTGCAAAAATTTTATTAGTGATTAATTCCTAAATGTGTATTATTAAAAAATAATGACTAATATAATTTCAATAATAATTTCAATTATAATATAAACATAAAAATTGTTAATATTTGTACAATATAAAATTGGGTGTTCTATGTCTAGTTTAATAATATGGATAAGTGTCTTCGGGAAGAGTTAAAATAATATCTTTTTTTTTTTCGGATGCTGAACCCATAACTGAGAATCCTTGAGGTCATCCAATAATTTTTGATGTAGTGCAATAGGACCTCAAGGTTAAAAAAGAAATTTCTTCTATTGTGCCTCATCATTCTTGGTGATGACTGTATTTTTTCCTGTGCTGCATTAGGATATCTAAGTATAAAAAAACATAGTATATCTAACTTCAATGAAGTAATTGTTGAATACACTTTTTTTAGTCTTATTACTTTCTGGAAGTTTCTTCCAATAGGTTTGTGTTGACTCAGTAGATTATGATTAATTTTTCTTTCAGCAATTTTAATTGAAAATTAATTACTAAAATAATCTTTAACTTTTATATAAAAAAATTAAAATAATATTAAACTGTGTAAGTTTTTCTACAAGTTCTAATATAAGTTATGTTAAGTGTTGCGAACTGGTTCAATATGTATAATAAATAAATAAATAATTGATAAATGCGAATATTAAAAATAGTGGACTGTATGTTTTTATTATAATTTCCTTGTAAGCTGACGATTTGTCCACGCGCGTACGTAGACCGAACATAACTGTTTATTGTATTGGTTGGCTTAATCAAGTGATAACGAGCGCAAACACACAGCCTACCTTGAAATAACACATTTCAATAGAATCAATATAAATTACATATAAATATTAAGATTATGACAAACATTTGATCCACATTCATGTCCAAAAATATAAACAATAATTCTGTAAAACATTCTCAGATAAATAACGAATAATTACAACTTAGAACAAACACATCATACTTTTAATAAATTAAAAATAATTGAATTAATATATAAATAAATAATAAAAAGTAAGGTAACTACATTTAGCAACAAAAATTAGCTGCAGGACACTTTAACAATGAACATATTTTATAATAGAGATACAAATAATAATTAATACATTACATACATAAAAAACAACAAGAATTTATATCACAATATTTACACTAGATATTATTGTTATTATTATTTTTTTTTCAAATCATAAGCATTTTACATAATTTACTAAATATACATTTTAAACATTTTTAATTATTTGAACTTGCTGCACAATTTCCCTCGAAAGGTAATGGACATAATTGACGCACAGCTCGTTTGTATACACTGGTTGCTATACGAATAGTAGCCACTCGTACGACACCGTCCGAACCACTATGAACTTCCATTATTCTTCCAATTGACCATTTTAAAGGGGGTAAGTTTTCATCGCGCATGAGAACTACAGTGTTTTTCTCCAAACCATGACCATTTGATTGTGACCATTTCTTTCGCTTCTGTAACTGACTGAGATATTCGTTCTTCCATCGAATCCATATTTTTTGTGTAATTTGAACAACACGCCTCCAGCGAGTTAGTCTTTTCTCCATAATATTCGTTACGTCACGTTCAGGAAAAGCGGATAGCGAGTCACCTATCAAAAAATGATCAGGTGTTAAAACCGTTAAGTCATTTGGATCTGTGGATAAAGGTGTTAACGGTCGCGAATTTAATATGGCTTCTACTCGAACAAGTATTGTATATAACTCTTCATAGTTAAACAGAGCATTACCAATTGATTTGAGCAAATGTGCCTTAACAGATTTAACAGATGCCTCCCACAATCCGCCAAAGTGAGGACTACGGGCTGGTATAAAATGCCATTGAATTCCATTATTACTTGATTAGTTTTTAACTTCTGGTTTAGCTAAAAGTTTATGCACTTCTCGAAGTTGTCGATTAACCGCAACAAAGTTTTTTCCGTTATCTGAATACACGTCCGTACAATAATCACGTCTATCACAGAATCTCCGTAACGCATTAAGGAAAAAATACAACAGGTTTGTACTTGAAACATTTGACACATTTTCGAAATATATTTCTGGCTATATTACGTCCATTAATTGGCTAATATCTCAAACGTATATTAGCTAACATCGCTTGTGGACCGGCGTGTAGTGATTTTTCGTGTTCATCCAGAAATAATAATTTTGTAAAAGCATTATCAACGGGTAACACTATCTGATGTTTTTGAAAAAATGAGAGTGAGACGGCATGTTTTAATCTACCATCGTTGTCTAGAAATGGTTTAAGACGAAAAAGTTTACTTTTATTGGACACTAATTTTGAGATTTTTAAGTCACACATCTCAGTAAAATATTCTTGTTGTTGCGCTTTCTTCACTAAGCGTTTAAGGTCATTTTTAATTTCTGTAGCTTCAACAGGACCATAAATATTAGTGTCACTCGATAAAAAATTAGCCTTCACACGAATACTATAAGCCACAACACGTAAAAGTTTACTTAATGAAGAAAATAATTTAAAAATTTGATTAAAAGAATTATTTTCCGTTGTTAAGAATAAATTAGTAATTACTTTTTCTTCAGACAAATATTCACTTCTAGAATTAAGTTCTTGAAAGTTACTTGGCCATTGAGTATGTTCCCCTTTCAACCAACTAGGTCCGTTCCACCTATCTAATTACCGAATCTAAGCCTTGCATTTGTGATGGAAAACAGCCCCTTGACACTATGTCCGCTGGATTTCCGCTGGACGCAACATGCCTCCATTGTGAAACAAACGTTAACTCTGGTATTTCACTTACTCTGTTTCTCACAAAAATTTTCCAACAGGACGATGGAGATAATAACCAATTTAATACCAGTGTCGAATCTGTCCAATAAAAATATTCATTTATAGGTAACTGTAATTTTGGTGCATATTTTGACATAAGGCGAGCGGCCAAAAGCGCAGCTAACAGTTCGAGCCGAGGTAACGAAACTACCTAGAATGGCGCGACTCTTGATTTTGCACACAATAAATTTATTACTACTTTACCGTAAATATCTGTAGCGCGTGTGTATATACAAGCACCATAGGCTTGCATACTTGCGTCAGCGAACGCGTGTAATTCTAGTTTTTTAATTTTTTCGATGCCGAGAACTAGACGATTGATTTTAATATTATTAATTTGCTCCAGTTCCACACGCATTTTTGACCAATCTTGTTGTAATGGGATAGGTAAAACGTCATCCCAGTTCATTTTTTGCAACCATAACTGTTGCATAATCATCTTGAACCTAATTATTACTGGAGCGATTAATTCAAGTGGATCGAATAGCGACGATATTTCGGATAGAACTAGTCGTTTTGTGAATCGACCAGATATTTTTATTGGTTTTATATTGTATTGGTAGCAATCTTTCTCGTGATTCCAATATAATCCAAGGATTTTAGTAATATTTTTATTAGGCTCTTTTGCATCGTAATCAACTTTCTTCAAATATAAAGGTAAATCTCTTAACAATAGTGGTTCATTGCTGCACCATTGCCTCAATTTGAAACCAGCACTCTTCATAATTGATATTAAATCATCTCTTAACTTGACCGTCTTTTTTAAAGTATCTGAACTACTTAAGAGGTCATCCATATAAAAATCTTCATGCAACACTCTACATGCTTCCGGATAATGATCAGCTTTTTCTTCGGCTAGTTTTCTTAGACACCTGGTTGCTAAGTACAAGGAAGTCACAAGTCCGTATGTAACT